GTGAAATTTAACATGTTATTAAAAAAATCGTCATAAAATCCAAAGATTTTAAATTAATTGATTCAAATGAAGACTAGCTGATGCATAATTGTACAAAGGAGGCATTGTGAATTCTTAGAAATGGATAGCAGTGTTTTGAGCAAGTAAAAAAATAGGGTAAGCACAACATTTTTGTTAAATAGTTTTCATATGTATCTAACATCCTTGAATGTTTGGGGATCTTAATAATTTTGTTTTTGTAGTGCTAACACTTAAACAGTTTTGATTTAGTCTGCATTCATGTCACCTCAGTTTGATATATTATATGTCCCTATACAGCAAATACCTTTTCTTCGGGAAAGTTTTAGCGTTGTGAAGTGGCAGTAAAAAATTGAGCTCAAAATGTAATGCTGTCAAACCCCCAGAAAAAATGCCGTCTTAAAAATTTCTAAAAAAAAAAAAAAAAAAAAAAAATTAAAAAAAAAAACGACAAATGTACGATAAAACAGGAAATATTAAACACTGAGAAATGAAATTTCTAGGAAGCAACGAGTCATATTAGACTGAACAATAATGGTTTTTACACAAAAGAAGTGGCTCCTGGAGATTTAATGTAACTGTTTTTGAATGGTCACATTTTAACAGTCTACTAACTGTAAACAAAACCGAAACCATGCAAGTTAGTAGACATTCTGCCCCACTACACATACAACTGAATGGTTCTGCCCTGAATCGAGTTAGAGAGTTTAAATATCTAGGAAGTATGATCACAGAGGCTGGTAGAATTGACAGAGAAATAGAAACCAGATGTCAGAAAGCAAGTGCACTTATATACCAATGGTCACCATTATTAAGACATCCAAGCATAACTATGAGTGCAAAGAGACAGATTATTAATAGCATATTTATTCCAACATTAAGTTACCAGTGCCAAACATGGACACTATCTAAAGCCCATATACGCAAAATTACCACCTGCGAGATGAGGTGCCTGAGAAAAGCAGCCAACCTAACCATACGAGATCGAGTGAATAATGAAACTATCAGGCAAATTGTGGGAACAACACCTTGTACTAGATTCATCGAGAAACAGCAGATCAAGTGGTTTGGCCATCTCGTTAGAATGCAGCAAGATCAAATACCATGACAAGCACTCCATCTCAGAATATCAACTACAAGAGCAAGAGGACGGCCGCCGATCGACAACATTAAAGACACTCTGCGCCTTCATGGCATGACAATAGCCAGTGGCAGCCAGCGTGCACTGGATCGCAAATTATTCCTCCCCACGCCTCCTAACGGCAGAAGTGGTTCATGGTGAAGATGATGATGACATTTTAACAAGTGCCTGAACGGGTATATCTACTCCTGCATGACTACACCATGTTCTCTACGTGTGACTAATCATGATACCAGTTGACTGCTTTAGTACAACTTTCTCATACAGTAGACAAAGCGCTTGTTCACAAGAGACTGGTTGAAGTGTTGTGTACACTCCATTTACAACAAAGTGATTTTTCGGTGTCAAGTGTTGTGTACATGTCATCTAGGGCGAAGTGGTTTTCGCGACGTCCCTTGTTTTCTGCTACTAACTTCCCGTGTGGGTTCCATGACTCCATTGTTGGGAAAACAACTATAGATCCACTGCCAACCCAACGAGCATGACGCAGGAGTCGACTAATTGGGTATTTCCTCCGCAGTCGGAGTGCATTCTGCCCGAGCGGCAAAGAACTATTAACTGCATTCAAATAAGCCAGTAAAAATGTTTGTGTACACGCAAAACTCAGGCCCTGGCAAAAAGCCAATGTCCAAATGGACGCACAACTTGGACTTTCCGCCGGAACTAACAGCCAGTAAACAAAAAAGAAGAAAAATAATAAGAAGGACACGAAATATTTTTTACATCTGATTAAAGAAATAAAAAGGACAGTGAGAAACTTACATGAAAATCTTCTGCTAATAAATCCTAGAAAACAGAAAAGTATTTCTCGCATGTTACCTAGAACCAATTTTCCTATATGTATGTGAATCCCAGGCAATTGGTAAACAAGCAAAACACATTTTTAGATGCCCCAGGGATTAGGTTTTGCAGTGAATGTTTAAAACTCAGTGAAAAGTCACAATTGATAACCCAGATGTTTTGAAAGAGTTGAGGACCTGAATCAAGAACATCAAAGGGGGACAGTTGACTAGACAACAAGATCGTCATGAAAACACCCAGTCTTTACTAATTGTTGAGTTAAAATGCAATTGCCACTAAAATGTAATGATGAGCTATTGTTTAGAAGATTCAGAGGTGATCATGTACACACAACAGTTAGTACGAGTGTTAGCATTTCAAAAACGTTGTATTTTCAATTTCAGATTGTAACACACTGCGTAAATTACATCACACAAACATACACACGAACGGAGAGAAGTATTGTTAACCACAAAAGGATGAAGTCATTAGCAAAATGAAAACTCAAGGACTGTGAACAAGTAATTTTATCCTTGCGGGTTATATCCAGCAGTACGGATGCCTTGAACGTGTTTTACAAGTGCAGAAAACGTTTGTCACATGCGGTGAACGGACATTTACAAGACAGAAAAGGCCATCACCGAAATACAAGCGTATGACTGTTATTTCAGATGCAATATCGGGTACCAGGATAAGCCGGGGCCCCAGACATATGCAGCAGTTAAAAACATCGAAAGTAGATACAGAGGAAACTTGTATTTTTTCCCTGTACAGATCGTAAAGTTTTAAGAGATCCCAACAATCCTGTAAATGTTTTGAGAGAGCCCAACAATCGTGTAAATATTTTGAGAGAGCCCAACAATCCTGTAAATGTTTTGTGAGCCCAACAATCATGTAATTGTTTTGAGAGATCCCAACAATCTAATAAATGTTTTGAGAGATCCCAACAATCCTGTAAATGTTTTGAGAGAGCCCATTAATCCTATAAATGTTTTGAGAGATCCCAACAATCCTGTAAATGTTTTGAGAGATCCCAACAATCCTGTAATTGTTTTAAGAGATCCAACAATCCTATAAATGTTTTGAGAGAGCCCAACAATCCTATAAATGTTTTGAGAGCCATACAATCATATAAATGACTACTATTTATACATGATTCTATGTCAGAAGTCGTCACAAGAAAATAAGAAACTAACTGTAGTGTATCTAAATATACAAACTGCTCCAGTTTCACACGGTGAAGGATTTCTCGTGCCCGAACCTCTGAAAGACATTTGCATTGAATACATTGTCTCTGAGAGAGCAAAACGGATAGAAGCTTCTCCTCAGCGTTCATTATCTTATGACGATTCATTCACCTGTCGTTGTACGCCACACATTTTGTCCAAAACGAAGTCAACGATCTTTTTTGCGATCTTAGTTAATAGGCAGATTATCCTCATTGCACGTTGGACAAGTCCAAAAGGGCTCGGATCCCATCTTCCGTATATTCCTCAGGGTATGGTGACTGATAATACCAGTTCTGTGTTGGTTTAATATTCCTCTTTGGCTACCTGTACAGTGTTCATGTTTTGCGACACATCCCCCCTTCCCTCGAAGTTCATGCAGTCTTGTGAGTGTTGCCGATTCAACGTCGTCTGCCCAATCATCTTCTCGTACTGCCCACTTGAGATCATTCAGAATGTCAGCCTGGTCCATTGTTTGCAATCTACAGCTGTCCAAGGTCAAAACGGAATGACCTGAATCAAAACTTAAATAACGGGATCTCATCACATAGAATTTCGGAGTAACTTCTGTTTTCGCACTCTTCATTGTTAGTTTGAACATAAATTCAGAAACGAAACAACCATATGTTTTACTCCGATTTAAAAGGTCTGCCCAGTGTTCTCATAATCAAACATGATCTACAAGAATGATGACTATTCACATACACCTCGAAATGAGTGTTAAGATGGGGCTTTTGCGTAATGAAAACTGATATCCATCTACTGCAGTCTGACACGCTGTCTACATCTTCTTCTTCTTCTTCTTCTTCAGCATTCGGAGCCCTTGAGGTTCATTGCTGCAGATATCACCGGCCTGCACTCTTTCTTGTTGGCCTTATCTTTCCAGTTAGTGACATCAACTGTTTGCAGGTTTGTCTGGGCATTATCTCTCTGTCATCCGATATTCTCTCAATATGTCCCAGTCATTTCATCCTATTAGCTCTCATGATGCCAGTGATCAATGGTGATTTAAACAGATCATGAATTTCTTGTTGCTTTCCACTCTTCAATCCCCGCTGTTTTTATCTTTGATAAGTCCAATGATTTGTGTGTTAAACTTTGTTTTCGAAAACCTGTAATAAGCCTCTATCTCGGGGACAAAGTCTGGTATGATTGTAATGTCTTATGCTGGGGGACGCAGACGTCTAATGCTCTTTCACATCATCATCAAGTATCTTGCCGAGTGGCGTGGGCGATCATACCTCTCCACAATCTGCGATCTCCTGCCGCATGTAACAGTTAGTGTGCTGACACACCTCCTTACCATGCAACACGACTGTCAAGAATCTTCTCTCGTTGTCTTCCTCTATAACTCCGTCCACAGATCATTCCTGGGGTCACCACATGTTCCATTTTCCCTCTTTTCATAACATGGTGGAAAAATAATGTCTCCTTCTTATGTCTGTGACATCAGAAGCTCCCGCTACTTTCAAAATCTCTTGGTTGCTCTTTTATGTCACATCATACATGGTTAACTTGTTTATAATAAAACATCACTTAGAAAATAGACACTCGAAGCAGGAACATATTCCTGACCCAGAGATGTTACATGTCCCTCTCTGGTTTACAACATCGTAACTTCAGAGCTAACACTTTCCTGACAAGAGCTGAAGAGAATTCTTTATTCATGCCGGCGTATATAAGGAAATTGATTGCTGAATGGATCGGCACAAGTGAGAACAATCCAACATAGATGTTTTCTGATACTGGGACCAAAATCCCCAGCCCCGTGGATAAAATTGGCGGAGACGAGCAAAGGAAGAAAACGCCGAACATCAGCGCGAAGAACTTGACACTTCTCAAAGCGGTCCTCACGTTATTCCTGAGGTGAATCTCTGCTTGTGTGATCGTAACGTCCCGTCTTCGGGACTCTGAAGCTTTCTTGTGTCTAAAGGCTACATGGGCGATTTTAAGGTAGCAGACGAACACCAAGACGAGGCTTGTGACGTAAGTAGTAAATCCCGCACTGTAGTAGACAATTGGTTGATGTAGTAGAATACAACGCTTGTGATACTGATCATTATTGTAGACTGTCGGAGGGATAATGAAAAAAATAAAATTGACTATCCATAACACAAGTAGAATAGAATACGTCCGTGTCTTTGTCATCGCTTTCATGTAATAAAACGGATACGCTATTTGAATATAACGGTCGATTGCTATCATCCCCATATGCATCATAGAGAGATTGGTAGTGCCCGAGCTAAGTCCAGAGACTATACAGCTCAGGAGTTTTGTGTCAATGGGATATACCACTCCTAGCGGAACAGTCAGGATCTGATTGCTGGTAAATGCAAAACCCAGTATCAAATCATTGATTGCTAAAGATGCGACGAGGATGTCTGTGTTTCTTTGTAGTCTTTCTGTAAACCATATTACACAAACTACAAGAAGGCTTTCTGATACTGATATGGAGCTGATTAGTACCGTAATGTACACAATAAATGTGCCAAAATTATTGTGTATAAAACAGGGGTTTGTTTCATTGTTCATCATAGCAAGGCTTTTGGATTCTCACATGCGTTAGTTCCTTGAAGATATTATTACAAAGGTGCAGATACTTTAGTAAGTTATTTCTGACATGTCTCCGTTTGTCCAAAAGGTTGTGTAGGTTGCCTTACATGTTACTGGGAGGTTAGCTTCCTTTAAATATTTGCTCCACGTATGGCGGTTTGTTCGGAAATGGACATGCAGACAGACTGGCCGTTTCTGTACCACTTGAGGGTAAATTAATGCATGGCAAATTAGATATTGCAAGCGTTCTTTGGGAGCCACTGAACAGTGCAGAGGTAAAAATGGATCATCACCGATTTGGCGAGAATTGTGCTGCGAAGAGTCAGCAGTAGATCTTGTCAGTGCTCAACACTCAAGGGTTGATCTTGTCAGTTCTCAGCACTCAAGGGTGGATCTTGTCAGTGCTCAATATCCAGGGGTGGATCTTGTCAGTGCTCAATACCCAGGGGTGGATCTTGTCAGTGCTCAATACCCAGGGGTGGATCTTGTCAGTGCTCAATACCCAGGGGTGGATCTGGTCAGTGCTCAACACTCAAGGGTGGATCTTGTCAGTGCTCAACACTCAAGGGTGGATCTTGTTAGTGCTCAACACTCAAGTGTGGATCTTGTCAGTGCTCAACACTCAAATGTGGATCTTGTCAGTGCTCAACACTCAAGTGTGGATCTTGTCAGTGCTCAACACTCAACGGTGGATTTTGTCAGTGCTCAACACTCAAATGTGGATCTTGTCAGTTCTCAACACTCAACGGTGGATCTTGTCAGTGCTCAACACTCAAGTGTGGATCTTGTCAGTGCTCAACACTAAAGTGTGGATCTTGTCAGTGCTCAACACTCAACGGTGGATCTTGTCAGTGCTCAACACTCAACGGTGGATCTTGTCAGTGCTCAACACTCAAATGAAGGCTGGAACGGATGTACAGTCAGACTCTTACTGCTGCTATCGTAGCTGTAAATCTGCATTTGCTGCTGAAGATGGAAAGATCATGTGTTACCATTGCAGGGCAAACCCTTTCACGAGCTTTCTTGTTCACTTGAAACGAAAGGTGGCATCAATAATTTAAAATAAAAAATGCAATGCCACAGAAACTGTTAGATCAGATCTGCAGTGCTCTTGCAGTTTTGCCTGTCGGAGCATACTTCCTAAGCCAGCTGCCAACCAGAGTAAGGGTCTTGAAAAGATTTGTCACTGGGGAACTAAACAATAACAGCCATTTATAACCATGTCATTCTATTACAACAACAGCAACAAAGTACAAAAAGTATAATAATTTTGTTTGCAATAGGTGGGGTCATTTATTTATATCCATAGATTTGGAAACTGTGGAGATGTGGTTTTATAGAATAATGATAAGAATACCCTGGACAGATAAAAAGAGTAATGGGGATGTCTTGAAATAAACGTATTCACGAAGAAAACTAATTGCTCACACCAGAGAGAGGCAATCAACATTCTTTGGTCATGTGTTGGAGAAAAGTTGAGAACATCGTGACAATAGGAAAGTCTGTGTTGAGGAGAGACGGGTAGAGATGGAGAGAAAAGATGCTGGACAGTCTGACATCATGGCATGAAAGTTCATTTGTGTCAGAGTTGATTGAAAGCACACTAGACAGAAGGTTGTGCATAGACATGACTACCAACGACAAACGGCTTGGACTATGGAAGATCATCTGTGTCAGAGTTGATTGAAAGCACACGAGCCAGAAAGTTGTGGATAGACATGACTACCAAAGACACACGGCATGGACAATGGAATATCATCTGTGTCAGAGTTGATTGAAAGCTCACGAGACAGAAGGTTATGGATAGACATGACTACCAACTCTCAAGGTGTGGATTATAAGAAGACAGACATGGATTCAGTGCTATATATGATACTCCTAACCTCTTCTGGCACAAGGCGGTTTGGCAATAGATGTCATAGTGACGACATTACTACTATAAAAATAATAATGGGTTACTTTCAAAATCGCGATGACCACACTTGTAGTGAACTTAGGAGAAGCCTGATTCCTTTAACATGTTGTGGGAAAATGTATGAAAGCATACTATGCCAGTGATTCGTAAACAGTAAAAATATGTAACTATAGTCGTCCCCATATGGGATGCAAACCACCGACCCGGCTGCATCGAGATACCAGCTTTGTGATTTTTGTGTATCTGTGTAGTATTGTTTGATTTGTATGTGCTGATGAAGGCTACATGGCCCCAACGTTCGCATTTTGTTTGTATTTATTAAAGTGTGAAGCTTGCTAATATACTTTACGTTCAGTTTTATATCTCTTCGTTATTTAAAGCCCAACCCTGGCTTTTGCAGGGGGCCCTGAATATAACCAAAGCATAAATATGGCCTAAAGGCTGAAAGGAGTTTCTGGGACCTCTCCAAGGGTGATATTATTCCGCATGGTAGCACCTTGTGTCACCGGGTGTTTATCGCTTGTGTGATGTCTTGGTGGGGTACGACAACAGAGGGAGAGGGTTACTGAAAGAAAGTCATGTGTTACTTGTCAGATAATGTTTATGTTTTCTAGCAGATAACGTTTTGAGGATTCAACAAAGTGTTAATAAAACAGAAGAAAACAATTTGTTCTTTATCCATGACTGCTTTCTAAAAGATTAACATCGGAAAACTCCAAAAGCCGCTATTCGGGCGAAAAGTTTAAAGTTTAAAGTTTTAACTCATAAATGATTCGTTCTTTATCTAACTCAAGTGTGAGGTCAAAAAAGCTTAGCGCAGTGCACGGGCTCCATAGCACTGGCGAGAAATCTGAACTACTTTGAGGTAGATTTTTACTCTTAATTTGTGTCCGGGCAGCGCGGTTAGACTACTCTTTTCGATTTCCAACTGCCAAGGGATTTTTTTACATGTGCAACAATACACGCGAGCGTCCGATCTCAGTGCCCAGAGACCAGGGAAATTAGTAGAAGTCCACGTGAAAAAATTCCCAGCCTTCATCGGGGCCTAAACCCGAAACCTTTAGCACGCGAGGCGGATACCAAATCCCTAGACCACGCAGTCCCCTTGATCTAATGGACTGATGTAACACCTGGAATTGAAGAGGGGGGATTGGGGGGGGGGGGGGGAGTAGTTATGGCAGATGTACTTTTTAAAGTAGAAACAAATACAGGCACTGGAAGATGTTTGTGACCGAAAGCGTAAATAGTATTTTACCATTATATATATATATATATATATATATATATATATATATATATATATATATATATATATATATATATATGAGTTGAGTTGAGTCAAGAATTGAGATCACAGAACTAGGGGAATTCCCATGCATGCTCTGCCCTTATCGTCAGCAGCCAGCGCGAAGTTCCAGTACTGATGGTATCGGTTACAATCTAGTTTCACCATTATATAAAATTCATTAACTGGTGCCTTCACAGAATGGATGAAATTAAATGGTATTCGGGCGAGAATACAGCAGGAGCTGTCAGAAACCCTGTTCAAAATTATAACACAGTTATTTAGGGCACTAGAAGGTCGTCATGCAGCACTCTGCAGTTTAAAAACCCACCTGTGTGGGTTGGTTCAGAAGCTCTATAATTTCTTACTTTACAAACGCACACAAATGAATAATATAACACAGAATAATTACTTCCCATAACAAGTGATACAAGCTTGAAAACAGCTACATGTATCACAGTTTATATAATACTATCATGTATGTCACGTGAGTCAGATTGTTCAGAGATAACTCTCCGGTGCAAAGTCAGATCTGCGTTTACGTATTTAACAAACCTATCGCTATCCTGGCTTGTCAGAATCCATCATGAACTGTTAAAACAACTTCCAGACACCACGTATTTGTCCCGTGACCGGTAGCAGATGTAGACAAATCAAGTAATAAATAGCGATTTTACGAATCGGAAACCGAAAATAAATAAACCAGATAGGCTAATGTGCTAGCACTGACAATGTAAAATTGATGATAAACACAAGATTAAAAGCTTTTGTTTACGTGTCTTGTTTGTGCCATTAGGAAGAGTAGGTGGCTTGTTTCTATTTGTTCTCAGTTTTTCTATTGTCATTGTTGATCTTTGCATCGCGTAGTGTCAGAGATCCAGTTATTAGTGTATGAATGTTTTTTTTTTTTTTCTGTAGCTTTGTTTTTAAAGAATTTGAGCAAACAAATTAGGAAGAGTTTGAAGGCAACTGAGATGTGTGTCTTGACAAGAATGTTGCGAATACATTGGGCTGCCAGAATAACTAACAGTGATTACCCGGAAATGGCTAGGGAAAGTAGAATATTATATACAGCAATGAGAAGGAGATAAACATAGTTCTTTGGTCATGTGGTGAGAAAAGGAGTACTGAACAATTTCGCGACGACTGGAAAGATCAGTGGTAGAAGAGGCAGAGGTAGAACAAGAGAAATGATGGTGGATGGCTTGAGACAGTGGCATGGAGGAAAATCATCAGTGGAATTGATTCAGAACACCCAAAGAGCGAGATTTGTGAAGATGCATGAATGCCTTCCCAGCTGGATAGGCACTTGACGCTGGTAGGGTGATGATGATGATGATGATGATGGCGATGATGTTTTTGGAGACGCGTGTTTGCGCAGCGGTGTACTTTTAGATATCCGTGATAACTGGGGGGGGGGGTGGGGGGATGGGGATTGGGGGGGGGGGGGGGGGCGATCGATAAATGAAATGAAGAGTGATCGTTTCTTTTGCAAGGACTGACAGCTTAGGTTTTTGTTTCTGAAATTCTATAAGAGTAATTGCAGCGATTAAGGTGAATGTCGACCTCGTTGACGACTACCACAGAGTGATTTCCAGTGTCCTCATTCGTTTCCCTCTTTCATCGGTACTCTAAGTACTTCACGAATAGCTGCCCTAGCCTTCATCCTTGTGCCATGTCATGCAGGTGTTCAAGGGAACGAGCGTGCAGACTATCATGCTGACACTGCGGTTGCTACGGCTGGTCTAGTACTGGACAGAAATGGTGTTATCAATGCCATGCGCTGCACTTACAGCACCGAGGAGCACGCCAAATTAAATTATTCCGTATACCTGTCTAGACTGATGGACATGGGGGTGCAGCCTGGAGCTGCAAGAAATGAGTATTTCAAAAAAGGGGCAAGTTGTTTTAAAACTAACACAGATCAGGCGTCATCAGTCGTTTTACACGCGTGGAGCTTTTGAAGAGGAGATCGGAGGACCAATGGATCTGTCCGGAGTGCTGTGATGATAATCCTGTCTAATCACTAATCGGTACTCTGTTGAAGACAGTACTTTCAGTGGTGCTCAAAAAGAATTCTGTTGGCAACGACCTTTCGGCTGGCAATCCTCTACGTTGTACTCCTTACCATCTCTCACAACGTGAAATTTGAGTTTTTATTTTTAAGCTAGACATTTAAAATATGATTTTAAACTTTGATGTTATAGAGGAAAAAAAAAAACCTTTTCTACGTACCGTCAGCAACTAACAGGAAAACATTCGACATTCTACAACCGACATCACAGCACTTTGGGCATTCCCATAAGCGCTCCATCCCCATCTTCAGCAGCCAGTGAAGAGTTCTGATACTAATGGTGCCAGTAGCATTCTGACTAAAGGTCCGTCTTGCCTTTCCCCTGAGCCTCGAGCATCTGCCAGAACCTCTCGTCACATCTCACTACATAAATCTCACCAGAAAATGGTGATCCATCTGGTCCTCCGAACTGTACACGCTCTCCCACAAGGCACAAACCACGTCTGCCTTATCATGCATGAGTATTTCACTAAGTTGTGCAAAGCCAGCAAGTCTGTCTGCCTGTTCATTTCCCAACACACCAGCGTATCCTGAGAAAAATCCATACAATACTTCTTACCCGTGTCCTCTGCCTGTCCTTATTCCTCAGCATGCTTTCTGAGTCAGTTACAATCACTGTGTGTGTGTGTGTGTGTGTGTGTCGTGTTCTCTAATCAGCGGAAAGCAGTGACCGCCTCCACCCTCATTCTTAAGCTGGATGTTGTGATATCAAATGCTTGGCTGTCATGCACTTAACGTCGACCAATAACTTATAAAATTGGATCGTTGGCACAAAAACTACAGTAACGTCACTGCTGCAATTGCTCAGTAAATTTCATTCTGTCATAGAGCTTCTGCGTTTGTTGATAAACTACTTGTGTAGTGTGTTTGCGATTAAAATGGGTCATTAGTTAGTAGACTAAACTGTGAACAAACAATAGCAGGATAAAAAATGTCCGTCAGACACCGACAGTCATTCTTTTGTGTTTTTTTACTCCGGGCGTTGCCAGTGTGGCTTTAGGATGTAGAGAAGCTAACACGTGGATTAATTACGTTAAATAATTCTGGCTACCTGTGTGTGTTAGATGTGTACCAACCCCAACACCTGCAGAAGACAGCTGCATCTATAAAGGCTGATATCTTATTATTACTTGAAAATATTACCCGCTGGTTCCACCTGCAGTGGATGTCAATAGAAACACCATGGGAAATAAATTAGTGTATATTGCTTGACGCTTATAAAACTAGAGGAAAGAGTCAATGATTATCTGACACCAGACGATACGAAAATCGGAAGTTATAATGGTGGCACTGAGATTCGAACAGACGTCTTTCAAAATGACCGAACTGTCTCGTTGAAACACATGTGTTCCTCAACATACTGCCAACATGCAAAACTTCCCTTCTAAATCTTTTGAGCGAGCCGGGGGGCATGTTAGCTTGACCCCAGAATTATGACGTCACTTTCAGTAACCAATACTCGGCAATCCGCGTGTGATTCCAATGCTAACTTATCGACGCGAGAGTTGGAAATCAACGGTAGCTTTTGATTTAAAAAAATAAATTAGACAGTTTTGAGAACAGATGTCTCAGTAAAATACTGAATCACTACTGGACAGATTTCAGAGCCACGACTCAAATGAAACAAAATATCAAGCCAGAAAATGTATCAACCTTTATAAGAGAGCGCAGCTGGAACTTCATGGACCATGCACTCAGAATAGACAAGACACGACTCCTCCATCAAACTTTATATGGACATCGGATCGGAAAAGAAAAACAGTGAAGACTAACAGAGTGCACAGAACCATCATCAGGGAATGCTCAGCTATGGGCCTAATGAACATCTAAGACCTAAATCAAGTGGCAAAAAAAAAAACCGCCAGACATGGAGAGCTATGACCTCTGCACTATGTGCCGCCTTAGGCTCAAGAGAACAGACTAACTAACTAACTAATTAACTCGGCAATCACAAAAAATATGATATTGGAACAGGGAGCATTTCTTAAATTTCGAGGATTCCTTCGAACTCGGAGTGTATCTTCCTGAGAGACAAGAAACCAACAATATGCATAAGCTTAAGCCAGATCTGTAAAACGGATAAGCCTGTAACACTCAATTTCTAGACCAAGACCTAAAGTTTAGAAGTGGACGAACAACCACAGCCTTCCGCCAGAGTTTACGCTGCCGAACGGTAAAAAGGAGAAGATATTTAACTGTATCTCACCAGGTGTATACTAAAAGAAAAGAAGATAAAAAAACAATCGAAGCAAAGTATGGATTCAAACAACACCCATGACTATGTTGAGATTAGCGTTTATTCTGTAATTACGTGCTTTGTTCTTGCAGTAAGCTGCGTTATCATTTGTGAGAGTGTACTAGTAATTGTGATAATATGTCGCACAACAAACTTGCATACCAACACGGACATAATAGTTGCATCATTATGTGCTAATGACATATTGTTGTGTATGGCTTATATTGTTCATGCTCTGATGAGTACTGTTGTTTTTCGCACGGATCAGCTAATTAATAAATCCGTTACTAGCCTGGTGTTGGGAATCGCTTTCGGAACTACTTTTACCTCATTTATGCACATGGGCTTTGTCTCCGTGGACCGCTTTATCTTCATCTCCCATCCGTTTTACTATATAAAGAACATGACCAGGGAACGTAACTTTAAAGTTCTTCTAGCTCTTTGGATAACCGGACTTGTATATATGATTATACCCGTGTTTGTCTATACAGATTCAAAGTACCACCAACAACTTATATTAACAAATCCGCCTTTTGAATACACATGTGTAGTTTATATTACGTTTATAATCAATACATTTATAGCATCCACATGTTACTTTAAGATTGCCAGAGTGGCCTTCCACCACAATAAAGCGTCTAACGTTCGAAGACTACACAGTACAAATGGCAACGGTGAGATTGCCTTGTCACTGAATCGACAGGCAGCAATGAAAAGTGTCAAATTTTTTGCTGTCACTTTTGGGCTTCATTTAGCCCTCTCTTCGCCTATGTTGATTGTGTCAGCAATCAACTTTGTCATCGAAGTGCCCAATTATGTGTTTGTGTTGAAGTCCTTTGTGTATCTTGTGAACTCATTAATGAATTGTTTAATATACGCGTTTATGAGAAAGGCGTTTTTAAAAACTTTGAGATCGACAATTGCAGATGGGTTAAAGTGTTGTTTCAGGAGAACACATTGATAATGACTGTGGGGGACGTGTGTTACAGTTCTTGACTCACAGAGCATGTTGAGAAAGGTGGAGACAGGCATGCTCCGTGCAGAGTGGCAAGCATCATGTCAGAGGTCCTGGGTAGTTAGCATTATCTGGATATTTTCTCCAGGTCCCGCCGGCGTGTTGGGAAATGAGCAGGTAGATAGACTGGCTGGCTCTGCACCACTTGATGGTGAACTGATGTATGGCAAGTTAGTTATTGTAAGGACCATCTGCGAGCGAGTGAACAGTGCGGAGTCGCAGATAAATCATTACGGTCTTAGGAGAATGGGGCTGCGAGGAGTTACCAGGGGACCTGGCTGACGCTCAACACTCCTGGAAAGGATGAGATGGATGTACAATCAGACGGTTACTGGTACCATCGGAATTGGAACTCTTCGCTTTTTGCTGAATATGGGGACTGAGCACTTATGAGAGTGACCCGAGTGCTGTGATGTCAATTCCCACTGCCTCCCCAAAAGCATGTCGTAAGAGTCGACTAATTGGGGAGCTTCCTTTGAAGTCGGAGTGCATCTGCCGGAGAGGCAAGGAACCAACAGTCTGTATTCAAGAGAATGAGATCTGTAAAACTGATGCACACTCAGGTTCTGGAGCAGTACTGCAGTTCAGAAGTGGACGAGCAACCATAACCTTTCGCCAGAGTTTACAGCTGTTGAACGCGAAGAAGAAGAAGAAGAAGAAGAAGGAGAAGAAGAAGAAGAAGAAGAAGAAGAAGAAGAAGAAGAAGAAGAAGAAGAAGAAGAAGAAGAAGAAGAAGAAGAAGAAGAAGAAGAAGAAGAATTCAGCATTCAACATTCTATGTGTTGCAGTTCTACGGTACACACACACACACACACACACACACACACACACAAAGTTCACACACACTTTGAGGCTGACATTTGCATAGAGGTTACATTTGTGTACTAGAAATAAAAGTTAACGCAGACTCTAAGACTTACATATACACATATTTTATAGTTCTCTACCATAATTATGGGCGTCGGGGACTTGGGCGGTGCGAGTTTTCAAAGTATGGAGCGTCGCAGGCCAACCCAGCCTAATATGGGCACCAGGATGTATGTCTTGGGGAAGTAAAGATGGCCGGCGTAATGCTAACTATATACCCACCAAGTGCTCGGTGATACTATTGCTAACAGCAGATAGCACAGCAGAAGTGACTTCTTGCTTGTCACGGCATATACTTGATCCCCGAGAGTCTACCATAGCAGCACACCATATAATAGGTGTGTTACAAAGAGTTTTCTTTTTCGAAACACGATAAAGCTCGGCTGTGATATTTTTGCGCATATTTCCTTCTTCAACGTGGTTTTTAATTCTGCAAAATCTGGTTCTATTTAGCTGCGGGTAATTTAGCTGCAAACCGCTTTGCGTAATGTTGACAGTGGTATGGGGAGCTGAATGTTCTTCAAGCATCGGCAAACCACTGAGCTGAGAATCGTCTGGTAAAGCAGCACGCAGCTAGTACTTGCTTTGGCTGGCTTACGGCCAATCGTTCAACTAATCCTGACGTTCCTCTTTACACACAAATGGGTCGATCATTTGGATTGATCTGGGTAAACGATTTGATATCACACTATTCAGGACAAAGTCATATCGGCTTTGTATGCCCCCTTTAACAGCCAGCAGTTTGAGGTTTTGAAAATCAGATCAGCATCATGACACACGGGTGTAACACATAAGTGCTCCGTTCTTCTTCTAAGTCAAGTCTTGAGTCCGATGAAGCTCAGCACAGTGCATAGGCTCTGTGCCACAGGCGAGGATAATTTTGGTAGATTTTTAGCTCAAAATTTTTCCCGGGAAGCGCAATTAGGCTACTCTTTTTCAATTTCCAACTGCCAAATGATTCCCCCCCCCCCCCCTGTGCGAAACAATACACACTGGCGTCCGATCTCAATACCCAGAGACCAGGAGGAATTACTAGAAGTCCAAGTCCACGTGAAAAAATCCCAGCCCTTACCGGGGATAGAAATCGGAACCTCTAGCACTCGAGGCCAGCGATGAGGCTGCACACTGCTGGTACTTAAGGTCTTTTGATCCACCACTCGTCTGCCAGATCTCCTGGTCACTCCTCACTGCCTCAGTCTCTCCCAACCGCGAGGTTCTATTTGCCCCCCCCCCCCCCCCGCCTCCCGTCCTTTCCCCCTTTCATTTCATGGCTCCCTGGTAGCATTTAGTTTGTTATGCATCAATTTACCACCACAAGGTACATAACCAGCCAGTCTGTCTACCTGTTCTATTCTGTCAGTCTGCCTGTTAAATTTCGTCAGTCTGCCAGTGTTATAAGCAATTCACATGATTTGTAGATATCATTACCTGTGTGAGAAAGATGGCTGTTTGGAAGGGCCGAGTCTCAGTCGTGACTGCGGGCCCAATATGTGACCATTTTACAATAAAGTTCTTTCGTTGTTCTCTCTCTCTCTCTCTCTCTCTCTCTCTCTCTCTCTCTCTCTCTCTCTCTCTGTGGGAGTTTGTGTGTGTCTTGGGTGTGTGTGTGTGTGTCTCTCGTTTTCTCTCTCTCTTTCTCTTGGTGTCTCCATCTTTCTCAGTCTCACTGCTCCCCCTGTCTCTCTCGCTCTCTCTGTGTGTATGTGTGTGTGTGGGAGTTTGTGTGTGTCTTGGTGTGTGTGTGTGTGTGTCTTTCGTTTTCTCTCTCTCTTTCTCTTGGTGTCTCCATCTTTCTCCGTCTAACTGCACCCCCCCCCCTCTCTCTCTTTCTCATACACTTTCGTTCCCAATTTAAGATTTCCAAGGACTTGTTTCTCTCTCTCTCTCTCTCTGTCTCTCTCTGTCTCTCTCTGTCTCTCTCTCTCTCTCTCTCTCTCTCTCTCTCTCTCTCTCTCACTTCCATATATTTCCTAACAAGCAGTATCTCCTTTACGTTGCAAGTAATCTTTTTCTCCTTTCGTTGGCTTGAAATAAATTATCTATATCTGCAATGTTGTCTCTAGTATGAACTTCAATGTCTTGTGTCACCAGCGACCCGTCAAGTTTGACTTGCACCGATGTTTCTCTTGGCCACAAATTTTGCTTTGATATATTGTATTTGGGACAGTCTTGGAGGACATGTTGTCTCAGGTGCAAATCCGCATGTGCACATGTTGAAAGTCATATAATTGTACATGTTTATTTTTTTAATCAATTGCTGCAAACTAATTTCACAACCGTCCTTTATGGTGCTGTAATTAGAGTCGTAGCTGCGTGGTCATCAAACAATCGATAATCTAGCCAGATTTGTTGATGATATGAACTAAATGAGAATAATCACTACAAACATCGAATTATATTACGTCTGTTCATCCCCTTATGTTGACAGTTAATAGGCGTCGATACAACCAGTTGTTTAGTAAGTAAAACGCCTTCTGTTAATTCGTCTTCTCCTTGGTTACATATTTTTTTTTTTCGTGTAGGTTCCGGGGTCCTATTATAGGGAAAAAAGAATAGATCCACTGAGCACCCAAAGGCATGTCGTAAGAGTTGACTAACTGGGAACTTCCTTTAAAGCCAGAGTGCATCTGTCTGAGAGGCAAGGAATCAGCAGACTGCACACAAATGAGTTAGATCTGTAAAACACTTAGGTTCTGGAACAAGACTGCAGTCCAGAAGTGGATGAACAACCAGAACTTTCTGCCATAGTTTACAGTTAGTGAACGCGAAGAAGAAGAAGAAGAAGATTACACATTTCACAATCATCCTTATCATCACGTACAAGGTGCTCCGCAGAACGTCGATCTCACAATGGTCTGGCTCTGGTTCTCTTGTCAGTTCTCCTGTCTCCTGCATTTTCATACCCAAGATTTCACTAATATTCTGTGCTCATCTTCGTGCTGTTTGGCTCCTGCATTTCATTCAAACTATCATGTCTTCTGATAATGTTCGTTTTTTTTTTTTTAAATTTCAGAATCCTCTGAGGCGCTCGATATAACCCAAAATAGTTCAGCTTCCGAGACAAGATGCTGTTTCTTAGCCAATCTTCCCTGACGTTCAGCTCTTTTTGAATGTCCGTATTTATTTTCTTCTTTGTCCAGGGAATTTTGAGACTCGTACCTTGATATAATGAAATAAAGCAACACATCAGGCACTGAGGTGACGTAGTAGTTGGCCGCTTGCCTGTTGGCACATAGGTATTTATTTTGAATCCAGATAAAGCGTTTATTTTATAATTAACCTTATATTTGACCGACTCAGGAATGGTGAGATCAGAAGGAGTGTCGGCACAGAACCAATACTAAACTTTACACGTCGATCGAGTGGTTTGGCCATGTAATAACACGATTTACACCAGACACGGCACCACAGAGAGCAATGTTATACAGATACAGTGGTAAAAGAGCCAGAGGTCCACCACACAGAATACGGACCGGAGAAATATAAGAGATACTAAAAAAGTACTCTATTCACAGCGAACAGAAGGGCTTGTTCCAGTGATCTTTTCCTGCAATGACGCCTCGAGGCATTCCAGGAGTAGACAAAAGAAGAAGTGTTCCTGACTCCAATGAAAAATAATGTGGAGCTCAATAAGCAAACTTCTGGTGTTTACATGAATACCATCTATTGACAATGTCACACACACTTGGTGCGCTGTGTTGAGTTGAGTCAAGAATTGACATCACAGCACTCGGACATTCCCATGCATGCTCCGTTCTCATTTCCAGCAGCCAGCGCAGAGTTCCAATAATGATGTTACCGGTCACAATCTGGTTTTATGTCCATCTTGCCTTGCCTCTGATTGTAGTGAGCACTGTTGCGATCATGTGTACTGTCATCGCTGGAAAGTTTTCATTTCAAACTGACTTTACTGTTTTCGGTTTCCTGATTGTTAGACGGGGTTGGGCTTTTGGAGTTAAACCTGAAGATTTAGGGGACCATCGGGCCCTGTGTGAGGCCTGGGATTAGAGGAGTATAGACACATTGACCTTAACAAGCATGTCGTAAAAGTCGCCTAATTAGGCACGTTTCATTCAAAA